CCTTTTTTCATCTTCGTAGTATCCGATATACACTCGCTTCGATGGCAATCTTTTCCTAAAGAATTTCATTGAAGGTGATGTTAAGAGGAATTGAAACATAACAATTTAGTTTCTCAACTAAAATCTTTTTAATAATAAAAATGAATACAAAGACATTTTAAAATTGTTTTTTTACCATATTGCTGATAGTTTTCTAATTAAAATGAGACCAAACATGACATAATTTGGACAAATATTTCTGAATAAAATAAAATCAAACACGATATTATTTCTATTATATATATTTATTTAATATTTATTAAATACGCACTCTCTCCCTCTCTCCCCCCTCACTCTCTCTCTCTCTCTCTCTTCCTCTCTTGCTTCCTCTCACTCTCTCTCTAAACCTCGCTCACTCGTAACTTTGGATCACCGAAACCACCTCTCGCTTATGAACCTCGTACGAGTGTGACCCTCCGCGATTTTTCGGCCGCGACGGAACCCGATCCTTTGTTCCCCCCAATATTCTACTCGTTAACAGGTCTTAGCCCAATTTGCCTGCCTAATCACGCGACATGAAATTTTCTCAGGACCGTCTCGCGGAGGGCCTGTGGCCCGTGGTCAAATCCTTCTTTTCCCAAGTTCGGTCACTTCCGGCGTTGGGGGGGGGGGGGTCCCTAACATCCTTCAAGGATGTTTCACACCACCCACGCTTCGTGAAGCCCGTCCTTGCGAGGTGAGACGACTTCAAGACATCGAAATGTGGATCTTCCTTGGAATTCTGATATTTTGGTGGGCTACGGTCCTGATCGTCCCCAGGTTGGTCTGCCCGTGTGTGAGATGTCCCAGTTTCACTTAAACGCACGTAGAACGTCTTGTGGGTGACCAGCAATCAGTCCGTTCCCGAAATCTCCGACGGGCTCGGTGCGCGGGATACGAATTAACCAGGCGTAAAAACACCGAATTTTCTCCGGGAGTGCTCACGTGCCAGTGTCGTGCTCGCGCGATCCCAGAGGAGGTCCTCTACTGCAGCGTTTTCCTCCGCTTATAAAATCGCGGGGTGACGTCACACAGATGCAACGTCACAACAGATCAAATGCATCCCTAAGGTGGGATGCAGGGTCTCGATAGGAAAAGTGGGAGGAGCGAGCAGAAACATGTAGACGAGACGAGGAAGGGTAAGGCGGTGTTCCAAGAGGTTTGGAAACGGTAGGCCCCATTCATTTCCTAAAGATATGATTGACGGAACGGTGTCGGCGTAGTGATGTTAGTATAAATGAACCTGAAACTAGTGCGCAGCTCGTTATCTATGGATAGAAATGGAAAACCTAGTTTCCTCTCGGTGTCAATCTTTGGGCATCATTCAATTTTGTTTTCCTTTTATGCTTCATCTGGTTTTTGCGATTCGAACTTCAGGCTATTGTTTTGGAGCGGCGATTTTGCTTTTTGAGTGTTAAAACATGCAGAACTAAAATAAATCTTCATTTAATAATTCAATATATTTAGCAGCAGTGTCAGTCTTCAATCAATAATAGTTAAATTGCCTACTTGGATGTCATTAAAACAACCCGCCTTATATATTTTCCTTTTGTTTGAATTCAATTCGAATTTCGATTAATCGCTCCAAATTATCGATTTCCAAAATGAAATCGGCTTATTGTAATGTTCTTTAACAAAATTTAGACATTTTAGGACATTCACTTTTTTAAATGTATGGCCTTTTTCTGGATATCCGTCCATAACATTAATACGAGGTTTGGTTTGCGTGATCGATATTGGTAGAGAAAGATTTTTTTATTTATTCTGCAGGAACGGATGTGAAGCTTGTGATGGGGCACGCAACGCGAATTTCCGGAAGGCAATACAAAATAGTACTAGGTACGTGATCGTTGAATCGTGGCATATCGCCTCCGAATTGCCTTCGAATCGTGCACGTGGTCTCCAGATATATTAAAAAATGTTCCATGTATAAAAAATTAGAAATAAAATAGTTAAGGCATCGTTTTTATTCTAGCATTACAATGTATTCATAGTAATGTACAGTGGCTCACGAAAGTGTTCGAACGCTTTTTAAAACGCAATAACTTTTTTAAAACTGAATTAGGGGACTTGAATCTTTTTCAGATGATAGCGAGACTAGTCTACCAAACGATGATTAAAATGCTTTTTTTAAATTTTGCTATTACTTGGAATGACAAAAAAAAAATAAAAAATTCTCGTTTTTTAACTTTTTTATCTGAGCCTATAACGAAAATTGAAAAAATGCCTCTTGTAGATCTCGCGGTACTAATAAAATATTCAAATATTATTTACACAAAGTGGGTGTCCCATTGGATCCCTCGATCGGTGTTGATTACTCATAGCTTCGGCCCTGCTGAGCCGAGAGAAGCAAGCAGCAAGCCACGTGGCAGCAAATCGTCGTGCACGCGTTGCCGATAAATATTCTCTCGGCCTGCTCGAAATGTAAATCGTTCCGACACTTCTATCGAGCCGTTTCTTCTTCAGAAATGTCTACAGAATCCGATCCTGGATAGAGTTTTCGTGCTGGACAAAAAACTTTTCGTAAAAATACAAAAATATTGCGGAGAAACTGCGCACGTCGGCACTTTTTTAAACTTTCACATTAATTTATAGTTATTTAGGACCGAAAACAATCAATGAACTGTATACCACTATATTCGGAAAACTTTTCTCTACCTTTTGAGATCGATTAGAACTTTCTAACGTTTTTACTTTTCATGCAATACCTCATTTTTGTTGAAAATTTTGAGTTTTTACAAAAGCTCGGATTCTTGTTCGGGGAGTGAAGCTCTACAAGAATGTTATGGTGGCTATAGGAAATGAAAAATCGTGTCGGTCAGTGTTATCGCCGCGTCGAGATACTTAGGGTAGCGGACAACCTCGAGTCGGCGCGAAGAATACAATAACAATTTTTCCTTAATACAGGACGAAACCCGCTGAACGTTTACGACTCATGGAAGAAAAGACCAGCCCATGGCCTGCTTTTCTTCCTTCAGATTAAAAGCGCAAATTAAGATAAATTATATTTACACCTGTCTTTACACAATTGCCACCCCCATAAACTGAATTCAGTCATACAAGTTGTAACAAAAAAGATACATACAATAAACTAATCATAAAATCGTGCAAAATAGAGATATGAAACGACATCAGTTATAAGTACACCATAAATCGGATAAAATCAACTACATGAGCATTCTAACATTTCATACAAAGATCACCAACAAACTTTACTTACGGCTTTCGACGATATATTTTAATTTGTGTTTCCTCGTTATTGTTATATCGCTGTTTGGTTGGAAAGGACGTCGTAAGAATATTATAAGATTCGTAGCCATGCTTGTACGATGCAGACAACAACAAGGATGCTGCAAAGAGTTCAGGAGAACGTTACACAACGCGTCTGATAGAAAAATCGGCACTTTCCACATCCACACATACTAACCCAGGAAAAATCGTCCCTAATTGTTATTGAATAAGTGTTTGGTGATAATGCAGTGAAAGTGAACGTTAGAATAACCTGCCTGGAGAAATCTTTCTGTTCGTCACTGTCGTATACAGAATAGCTGTGCAGTTCATCATACGAGGTCAATGCACTACTCTCCTGACACATATTTCCGATCATGAAGTGAATTCACAACTAAATATATGAGTTTCTTATTACTAATATTTCCCACACTTTTCAAACAAACGAATCCTTTATGTTCCTTAACGGGGTTATTTATCAATAAAATAGCTATGCGAATTATTCGTTTAATTCTGTTCGGACACGGAATTATTTAAATTAAAGTATCATTTACGTATTTCGACAGGGTTACTTATTCTTAATCTTCACTATACATATCGCATAAAAATTTCATATGGTACGCATGAGGTGTCATACACACCAGAAAATTAAAACGACTGTCACGGTTAAACTACATATTATTTCGGGTCCGGAAAATTAGTAAAATATTCTTGAGATATTCTGAAATAAGAATGAACAGCGTTTTTCTTAAAATTATCACTGTCACGTGGTAAAAAAAATATCGAAAGTTCATGCTCCGTGACTTGTTCATTGATTCGAACGCGGCACAGAGTCCCTCTACAACTGCCAAACTCAGTGGTAGGAGCACGTGGCGCTCGATCGATCGACCACATCGTATTTCGCGCCATCGCCTCTCATTGGTCAGTGTTTTTCGTTAATAACTCGTAAACAAAACCGCAGATTGCATTTTCGCAAAGGAAAAAGTTACTTCAAATGACATCAACTACGCTCTATTTTCGGCTGTTAAAATAATTCTGGAACATCCTGTATATGTTTTACTGTGTAATCAGTTATTTGATTAAAAAATCCGATTTATATTACGATTAAAACTTGCCCTTTGAGAAAAATCATAAAATAATTCATGATCAATCTCTTACGAAACTAACAATAATCTTTAAAATCCTAATAGCTTCTTAATTTACAATAAACATAAAAAATTACACGAATCACCGCAAAGTAACAGACAATCAGTGTTGTTCGGCTTGCTGCTGACTCACGAATTTTAGGTGCTTGTTAGCAGAGCAACCTTTTCTTACCGTTACTGTTTTCCGCACGGCCTACGTTAAACAGGGAACAGGAATGGCACCCAGGAAATTTAACAAAGCAGAACAAAAATGCTTCCATCTTCAATAATAACTTTCTCTAAGTTGGAGTAAGATGGGTAAATATTTCGATGAGTCAGAAATACACGATTAGCCGAAGATTGTTTTGTGAGAGATATCTCAGTTTTTTTGTCCTGAAATAGTGAGAGCTAAATGGTAATTCATTTAAATTGTACATGATCGAAATTGTCTATCTCTCAAAATATCTTGGACGCCGCAATTTTTGCTGTGATATAAATTTCACATTCACACTATTATTATTTCTAATTTAATAGATATACATATATATATTTATTGCATACTCTACAAATCAACTTTCATGCAAAGGTACTTTTCTTTCCTTTTGTAGGCATCTTATTCAAAACAAAGTATTACAAATTCCTAAATGCTTGTTTTATTGATGTATATTAAAGGTACAAGAAGCATCTTGCATTTGTAGTTTACAATTTAAAGTCATTCATTATCGTGCTTGTTCGGCTTTAACTGCCGAAGCGTACTATATTTTATACAAATTAAAATTAAAATAAGTGATATTTCATTATCTAATATTCAATTGAGGACTTTTCATTTTCTACATATTAAGATTTTCTCATACAATTGTTTCCAGCTCCCTATTTCCCATGTTTATTTCCTTTTAGAAATATTTGAAATAAAATTCATTGCCATTATATATGGCATTTTTTGTCAAACTTGATAGATTTGATTAAGAATCATCGAACAATGCACGGTGCACTGCTCCTAAACTTGGTTGCACATAACTTGAACTAACACTCCTTCTAGATCTGTAAACGTGCGCAGAAATAGTAACGTTTGTACACAAGTATCCTACAGCTATGAGATTATATACTCACTCTGTAATAGATCTAACAGCAGGTCCTGTAGGATTATTTTTTGGTCGTGGATTCACTAAGAGACATTTCATAGGATGCCCATCTAACTGTCTATTATGATAAGTTTCAACAGCTTTAGTAGCATCCTTTAATGTTTTATAAATAACCTCTGCAGTGCCTGGTCGCACTAATCTGGATACTAATAATTCTCCTACATCTTCGAATAATTCCTGAAACAAAAAGATGTTAATTTGAATTTCTCCTATTTGCTTGAACTAATTTTCTAAACTAATTTGCTTCACTAATTTTCTTCATTACTCATTAATCCAATAATAATACCTTAATATCTTCTTGAGTGACATTTGCTTGTAAATTTGATACCACAATTCTATAACCGGTAGACTGTGATGATGAACTAGAAGTAGTTTTGGGACGAGATAAAACACCCATAGTGCGTGATTTGCTTGGAACTGAATCTAGTCTTGATTTTACTCCTATATCCCTGTGACTTCTTGAATCATAATACTTTGACTCCATTGGCTCTTCCGCTAATATAGTACTAAAAAATAACATTAATGTTGGCCATTGCATAAAAAATATGTAACAAAATGGAAATGTTACATGTACAAGTAAGAGCATGTACCGTGATTTTGTGCCAAAACTCCAATCATCTTTGTATGGAGGAGAAACAGCTTTTGTCTGAAATTGGTCAGCATGAATGTAAGTAGTAATATTTCAAAGCTGACTGTATTACATTTCCTGTACAAATATTTACCATTGAAGAGCGTGCAATAACTTTATAATCTCTCACTCTTTCTCGTTCTCTATCAACATCAGGCTTCCTGGAAGGTACAATTCTTGAAACATTATTACTTGCTGGTTTTACCCATGTATATGGAGATGCAGGCTTAATACTGAACACAGGAGGTGGAGGAGGTGGTGTTGGAGCATATTCATTATTCACAGTTCTTCGTAAAGGTGCTGCTTCCATTAAATAATCTAAAAGATGCAATTGCATTAAATAACTTCATTGAATCCAACTGTTTAAACAAATATTGTGTACCATCATTATAATCCATGCTCATATCTCCAATGTAATGAGGTTCTGCAAGTGGTGGTGGCCTATAACCAACTGCTCTTGTTGGTGGTGGCATATAATTGTTTGGAATATTTGGTGGCAATGGATGTGGCATAATTGGAGGCATCTTATTAGTTGACAATGATAACCTTCCATTGCGACCTGTCTTTCGAGAAATTCCAGGCAATTGTGTTTCTACTTTTTTCAATTGCGATGCACGAATTTTGTCTAACTTTAATCTAGCATCACTTTGTTTTGCAATTTCTGCGAGTTTGTCTCTTGCATCTGTTAGCTTTTCTCGATTCTTTTGTATAATTTTAAACCGTGCATCTGTAATAACTTGTGAGCCCTGTCCCCTTACAGAACCATTGGCACGTGCACCCCTATTAATCCTCCTTCGAATACTATATAAGCAATTACGAAACAATATAATTTTACATTTATATAATTAAATTCTTTTTATTTTTTCTTCTTACTCTAAAAATAACCATTTGATCATCATAATGTTATATATCTATAAATACAAGTAAAAGAGACTAATGTCAAACTTTATAGATAATAAAGAAACAAACACATTGATAATACTTAAAATAAATAATATTTGCAAAATATATGTCTAATTAAATACGGTTAACATTTATAAGAATGAAAACCATTTATAATAACAATGTAAAAAGCATTATTAAGAAATGTTAAAATCTGAAATATTGTAATATCTATCATTCAGTGAAAGCAATCAATTTAAAAGATTTCTATGTTGTAAGCATGATTCTAATGAAGAAAATCTTCGGATTACTAACATCATGAAGTTGTTTAGAAGAACCATCATAATTAAGGTAATATTCCTTTATAAATACTGTCAGACGAATAACAAGTAAATTTCGTTAATAATTGTAAGCTCAATTCTTTAAGGTTATAGAGAAATCGATAAATCAGAACTCACTACGGAGTAAATTTATTACTAATGTTTGAAGATTGTCTCACCCTCCGCTTTTGCTTCTCATTCCTGACGACTTTGACTTCTTAATTATATCGTCTAAACTTAGGCCCACATCAGCCATACCGTAATATAATTCGACTATCCGAAACAGACGCGTACCATAAATCGAAAATTGCAATATTCATAAAGGTGGATTCTCACATTCCTACACGTCGTCTACTGTACTGAAAATGTATATTGTAAACGCGCTTTATCGATTTTACATTTACAAATGTATGCAGAATTATTTTGATTTATATAAAAATCAACATAACATAAAGTAATAAATAATATGTATATTTAACATTTGGTGATATGTTCATGTATATTCAACACTTATAAGCAACACAATTTTTGCTAAATCGTATACAATAATCAGACTAACTTCTATAGACTTTTCTTACTCCCTAAGCTGACATGCTCATCCCCACCAATTTGCTGCGCTTCCAATCTGCAGTAGATTCTGTGTTAGCAATGAATCGTCAGCCATTCAGAACAAAGAAAATTTCTATTTCGACCCTCGCTAACGGATTAAGCTGCGGCGGCCTAGAAGTGTGGAAGAGTAGGTCCCATTACCGTACTTTGTAAAATTATAAATGCTTATTCCTCCAAACATTTGATTAATATTCGCTTTTTACTTTAAATAATTTATTTCTTTTATTCTTACTAAACATGTGTATAATTATCCTCTGTAACATTAGATATTTTACTTTAGATATTAAAAATAACCTTTATATTTTATATATATGTACATGCATAATTATAGACACGGCTTTAAATACCTGAAGCAAAGATAAACCATCTGCGTGACATCACATGTGGGAAAGATGTATAAGCTATGCTTATATAGTATTGTAGTACATAGTACTACTTATA